TGGAAGGTACCAAGTCCTGTGTCCTCTGCCATAATATTCATGATAATGTATAGCATAGAACCATCGACCTAGTACATCCCCAGGCGTTTCGCCAAAGTCATCATCCAGAGACGCTATCCCCAAGACATAGTTACAACTTCTAAGTGACTTGTAATGGCAAATACATGTTTGCCCATCAATAATTCGATTATATATGTGATTTAGGAGAGGCCTGGCTTGCCTTAGACGTAATAACTGACCTGCGAACCACTGGCCGTCGTCGCACCATGTTGCCACGATACTCATGACCCGGGTTCGAAGTGTGTTTGGTGTGCTGATGAGACGCTGGGGCGGGATCAAAAAGACAGTCCAGTCCAGATGAAAAAGTCTTTTGGCAAACATGGCTAAGCTAATTTCAATGAAATCTTAAGGCCTATTCGTAGCATTGCGAGAAAATTCAACTTCAATTTACGCAGCTTCGTCGTGGCGTCAAGGCTACCATTAAGAACCCACCCAATCCTGAGTCTTTGTTATAGTAATCGTGCGAATTTCCAGAATCGGATCAATGACTTGATACATTCCCAGATATTTTGCTAGGATCGTGGTTGGCGTTGTAAATGAGAAGCAATTTCCTTAGTACTGGGCTATAGCTCAGCATAGTGATGAATAGAGGCAATACTCTGTTCGGTGAGTTCGGCCACTTTCTTGACTCTCATAGCTCATAACGTCATATCTTCATCTCCAACATGGGTAATTTTCCTAGCCACACAACTGTCTATCCTAATTTGTTCTGATATCTCCCATGCTTATGGCCATACAAGTGGGCTTTATGAAGCTAAGGAGTTTTTTGTCGGTTCCGCATCGCATCTAAATGGTTTCCTGATCCCAACTGTAAAATCTATTTTATAATCCCCTTCGCCCAACTCTTATTAGCTGAGCTCTCCTGCCCTGAAAAAGCTCTGCTTAATCTGACCTGCCGTCTATAAGCTCTCGATCTAGGCCACCGTAACTGTCAAACTCGAGGATTTATTCGCATGACTGCCTTTAAGCGCATCAATTACCCAAAACAACTATCAAAATTGCGATTATCATGCTTGCGGCGCTTTTATAATTCTCTCTAGTCTAACTAATATGATCTCCCAATTTGCATATTTTCCCGTCTTCGCTCACTTTCACCATGGACCTCAGGTCTAGCTTTTTTTGGAATCGCTCCCCATATCCACTTCTCTTTTGAACACAATAGTGCTCTCGTTCTCTTGTGTCAGCATGCCCTGTAGCATCGCAATCGAACTTTTTCATGGAGCTAAACTTTATTCAGTTGGCTGAGTGTACATGGGTTTGCAATTGCCATTGTCAAACATAGGTGATATCTATCAAAAATTAAAATAATAATTCGATCAAAGGCTTCATGCAAATCAGTACGATCAACAAGTTAACATAAGAAAAAAGGGAATGGATAAACTTTTGAAAACATCATAAAAATTCAAACAAAAATCGAGTTTATGCCCCATAATGGATGAGCATAGAAGGGTAGAAACATTAGAATCTGAAAGACATTGAGAATGAAGATTAAGTAAAAATTTTCCAAACACTGTCTACTAGAAATTATTTAAAGGCATCCGGAGGAAATTCATCATTTAGAATTTTGTTTGGTTCCATTATGAGGTAGCCACACACTAGGATAAAAAGTGTAATAATAATATAATATTGCTATTTATTCAAAATAGATAGAAAAAAATATTAGGCTTTAGGATTTTTATTAAATCTAAAATAAGATTTATAGTCTTATTAGGTGATGAAGGACTGACATGAGTTTTCCCACAAAAGTATAAGCAGGCCTCGCTTAGCCTTGCCTCCCAGACCTTAATATGACCCATGGTGATTTCCTTGAAAGTAACGTCACACCTGTCAACTACTGGCATCCGTGGCAATACAGAATAGGGGTAACATGTCGAAATTATATGTCGATTCCCTCAGGTTCGATTCTTATTACGAATGCCAACTGGACCAAGGCAATGTCGAAACTAGAGACCAATCTGAATAAAAATACCTTTTAGGAGCCAAGGCTAAATGAAATTCGATGGAATCATGAGGCCTAGTCATATTATTGACGGAAAATTTCACTATTATTCCGTCACCACCTTGTGCGACTTAGAGAGACAACAACTCTAATAAAAGCATTTTTACCAGGCGATGCACTCAGAAATTTGGCTCCTTCATTTTCTGTGAAAACAGAGTCCTAATAATTAATATGATTAGCTAGATGATGACCTTTAGTTTTAACCTCATTTTTTAAAATTGGCAATATCTTAAGAACTTCAAGTAATATACTAAATAATGCGTTTAGGTAGGACAAAATTCTAAATACACGGGAAGAAGTATGCTCTCCAAAGACCTCCAAAATTCATGGCAAAGCTGTTAAATTGAAGTTAAGCTAATTTCCACAGATATAGGTTTTAATTCGTCAAGAGAGTTAGTTATCAAACCCCCGATTAGTTGGAGATGAAAAGTCAAGCAATAGATGGACAGGTATGAAGAACAAGATGGTGTGGCCTTTTGTGTAGTCGCAGTCTCCTTTCGTTGTATAGAAGTTGTTTGACTTTGTTTTCGCAACTTGGTCATATTGGTGGGAAGACTTTAAGAAACGCACCTTGTCCTGAGTCCATTGTCTGCACTATTATTTCCAACGTAGGAACGTGGACGTGGTACATTCCCAGACGTTTCGCCGGCATCGTCAGTGAGTTTTGCCATTCGTAGTAACATATTACAACTCGTCAGAGAGACAAGTGAAGCCGATCCTTGGACCAAACGTGTGCTAAACAGTTATGGTATCTCCCCTTCTGTCCTGGCCTATTCACATTTCCTATATCCTCAAGTCACGCCTTCACTTTCATAATTTTTCCTTGCTTAATTAAATGTGGTACAATGTGCCCTTTTGAGCGACTTTTATGAGAACCATCCGCACTCCACGCTGGCCTTCTAACCCCCCTTCATCCTTGTGCTGGGAATGTGCATCAGAGTCTGCCATATTGTTACGCAGTCCTTCTTCTCTAGGTCTTACCACAGTCTATGCGTATTATTGTGTTGATGGCGCATGCTTTGTGCGTATGCAATGTTAATGAGCCAATTGAGGTAGTAAGCTCTAAACTAGTCCCGAGATTAATCAAGTATCCCCTTAAGCAAGCTGCCTAGTAGCATTGAGTTCGTAGACTAAAACACAATAGCATAAGTACAAGTATTAAAATAATTAAAAAGCCCGCATTTGTGGGTTCCCTATGCATATCACTAGCCAATTAAGTGCACTCTCTACTAACTTGGGCATCCAAAATGGATAGCCTACCAACCTTCCCAGTGAATTTAATTCTACTAATTAACCTATGGAATAACTACAGCTCTTATTATTATTCTTACTTGTTGAAATTCCTTATAATATAACTTACCCTCCTTTGACTGAAACCTATCCAAGTGCTCTAAACGAAAAGCACAGGACAATATTTGCATAAGCCTGGTTTTGATTATAATCAGCGGATGTAATTTTGTTTGTCCTCCTTAAATCTAATTTAAATAAAATTATGGACTGTTCTATTGGCTCTGCGACAAATATTATCTATAAATAATTTAAAATTAAGGAATAGACCAGAATAACACGAGTTAAAATGAAACAAATGAGACTAAATTGCCCAGCCGCCAATTTATTGGTCTTAGTGTGAGTTGACGAATGCCAAAAGGGCTGGTATCATTAGTACTTGGTATAAACAGAAAAAAGCTGGGTCCCGAAGATTCAATTAGCAAGATTAATTTTCCAGCAAAATGAAGAGTCCAATCAAATCAGATCTAATGGGTAGTATAAAGTAAAAAATGATTATTGCCACCCACCTCAACGAATCATCATTTTGAAGGTGCCAAAGAGCACTTTGGATCCGGCCTTCGTAAGCAGCCAAAGACCTGCCTTCCCACCCGGTATCTGGTGGAGGACGAAGATAAGAATTATAGAGAGCTGCGTAAGCACTGCGATTAGAGAAAATACTGCTTTTCTCAAAATGAGGCTGGAGTAGATGGATAGGGCTAGAGCCCCGAAGTATATCAGTGTGAAGGGCAACCGGCTGAGACTCAAAAAAGTTACCTGAACCAGCCGGTAGACGCCTAGCAGGACAGCAAGAGCGGCAATTAGAAGAATGCTTCCAAGACTCTCGAGAAATACAAACTTTCTCGCGCCAGCGGGAGTGGCTATAAGAGGCAGGCAGATGGAGCAGGCAAGCAGGAAACAGATGATAGAAACCAGAGTAAGAGAGGAGCATAGGAGAAGGCGCTGTCGACGAGAAAGGTTCATCGTGGGAAAACAAGAGTTTGTTGATTCGGAGGTCGAGCCGGAGCCCAGAATCCAACTGAACTCTGATGTCTCCTGATTATCATAAGCCGTTCCAGCCTCTAAGTTTGTGTCTATATTTGAAGGTTAATTAAAGAAGGAATCAAAATAAGATCTTTTGAAGGTTAATTATTTTGCCAGTCTCCTCAATATTGCTGCCTTATGACAAAGTATGAAATATTAGTCAACCTGGATGAAAGTTGCTTTGCGATGGAATTAATACACAGTAAAAATTCTTCGCTTTTCTTTATCAAAGGTAGCTGGACAGCAATTGTACATATTTCAAGTGCTTACGATTGCGGTACAGTCCATATTTATTCACCAGTCAGTGAAGTAGACTTTGAAAGTAAAGCATAAAATGGATAGCAAGCCAAGACAGTCAGAGCAATCAACCAACTCTTAAGAACTAGGATGATGTGGTACGAAATAGTTTTGCAAATTGTCCTCAAAGGTAGCTATGATAAAAATGAAAGGACTGAAAAAATATTTATAACTTGATTTTCTTTACCAATATAAATGAATGCAATCATTCGATTTTCCCTCAAAAATTGCGTATTTTTTT